TTCTGCTTTTGTAGCACTCAAGAAATAGCTAGCAGCTTACTGTGAACCTTAATCAGAAAGATTAAACGTGAATTACCCACAAGCCAAAGTGTAGGCATAAGTAATTCCACTCAAGATTATTACAACAACCAGAATACTTTAATTAAATATTATAACTAAGAGTCTGCTCATAGCATTATATGCATTGAGTATATAAGTTACATCTAGAAAAAATTAGAAGACATGCACAAGACCATGAGGAGACTAGTCTTTCTAATGATACCCTTCAAGTACTTTCACTTAACGATTTGTGTAGATACTGCTTTCTTGGCTGTAACTATCATAACTCTTTCCGTAGTTTTTGGAAATGGTATCAATAACAATTTGCTGCTACCTTCTACACCCAAATAACAATTGCAGCTCACCTTGACCTAACTACAGACCCTGACTACTCTTTAGCTCAAGTTTCAGTCAGAAATCTTATTTTTAGTTGCAGATATCGACTCTCTCTTGAAAGTACTTTGATTCAAATATCAGAGCAACCATATAGACTACCTCTAACTTTGTTAGATTAATGAGGATACAACTAGCCATATATACAACTTTTGATTGTCTATTTAAGCAGTCTTGCATATATAACCCATATGAACTACACTAGATGCTATACCTATAACCTAACTAAAGAGATTATTTATTTAAACCATCTGATCAACTTAGTGCTATCAGATATTCTCCTCAAAGAGGGACTGCTAAGAAGGCCCCTTAGAACTTTAAAGCAGATACACACTTCCATATAGGGGTCCTTTATCTTCGTGGTAAACCTACTAGAGCGGTCTATGTCCCATATATGTATTATCTAGATTTTTAGTAATTTATGTCTAGGTTATGGCCAAGTACTTGCAGCTTTTTATCTCTATTACTATTACATACTCTTTGCCTTTGCAAAGTTCACCCAAACTCTAGCATCCACTTTATAGACTATTAACAGTACTTCGATGCTAACTGTTGGTACTCCAAACTTCTAATCCAAATGGCCCAAGAGGGATTAGTGAGCGTCCTCTGATATTCTGAGTGAATCTTTTTTCCTCTGGTTATCCAGCAGTCTAGTTGATGTAGTGCTTGCCAAACACTCGGTCCTCGTTCAGTTTGCCTTTGGTGTCTGTTCCCCAAATGATAATCCTTTATATAGCACTGCCAAAGATCTGTGCTTTCTTTTTACTCGAGACTTCCCATGCGGGCTTCTGTATCCTCTGATTCCTTGAATTTATTTGGCTGCTTCACCCAGGATTTGTGCAACTTATATGTTACATTATGTTCTACAACCTTCTAATACGAGTTGGTGAGACCAAGGTTATAAATGCTAACCCAATTGATATGTCATACAGTTTTACTATAATGCATTTTCACAAATTCAAATTTTGTCATCAGTGGGATTCGAACTCTTGTTCTGCCACTTGGAGGTGTGACAACTTACCAACTTTACTAAGTTGCTACACCCTGCACATTATATGATTTTCAAACTTATTTAATTTAATAAATTTAATGAATTAGTCAATTAGGCGATTTGATTTTTTTAATCTAAATTGATAGATTAAATTTTCATATAGCTGAAGTCTTTAATTTTTTGAGAAAGCATTTTGCTTATTCAGATGATTTTAAGTTCTTTAACTTTCAAATCAGTTAAATAATAAGACATTATATTTGAAAATAAGTATATATTAATAATAGAATGATTTATCTTTATATCAGAAATTGTTATCAATATAAAACTAGAAAAGATATTCCTAGAAGTAACCATATTTATCTATTTTGTAGACCTAATTGTATAAAACTTTAGAAAAATTATTTGTATATGGTGTTCATGCTAAATTTGTAAACCTTTAGGTTTAATATTAATCTGAAACTACCAATTAGAAGAAATAATTATATATAATTGTTGTTGATCAAACAATCAAAAATAATTTATATTATTAAACAGAAATAAATATCATTCTCTATGAGTGACTATTCACTATATGATAATATTTTAATAATCTTACTATTTCTAGCATTTGTTTAAACCAAATTGAAGAATAATTTAGCCATTCTTAAATATGAAAAAATTTTGCTATATTTTATTCTTTTAGATCTTTGTGTTTACTATAGTATATATTAAGCATTATTATATATAAAGCTCTTAACCAGGTTAGAAAATATTGATCTGTGAGAGACAGGTATTAATCCAGGTTATAGTCTGAGTCAGCAAGTCATGCAGAAATATATAAAGTTAAGGTTAATTCTTAATAGTTAATATACAATTCTTAATTAAAGTGATTAGCACAAAGAGTAACTCATACTTCTAATATTTGAACTGGTATTTTCTGATTTTATATTGAAAAATTTCTCAGCCTTGAATTCGTTTTTGCTAAACATATTAATTATACTCAAACTTTGAATTCATAATACAAATATAAAATCGATCTTTATTAACAAACTAACTGCTTTAAACATCAAAAATCTCAATTCTATTACATTAACAAAAATAAAATAATTTACTTCACCTGATTTCGAAACCTGATTGGCTAGTACAAAAAACTCTTAGCACATAAGCAGGTGCACAATTTGTTCAAATAATGCAGATACATTAAGTTATCATGGTATAATTTATGGTATAATGAGCAGATACAAAAAATTTAAATAAATTATTAAAAATTAATCTAAATAGTGTATTTGCATTGATAATTCATAGATAAATTTATGCATAATGAATAGATATGAAGAATCACTAGTAGATTAAAATAAGTTGTTAAAAATTGATCCAATTAATATATCATCAAATCATACTATTAGATATCAAGATAGTAGACCATAGCTTTGCTAATAATACTACAGATAAGTACTGCAAAATATATAGCTACTATTAGCTCAAAGCTTAAAGATGGTTATCAGATGGATTTCATGAATAAACCTTTCGATAACGGTTAAGTAAATTTGTTGAGCACTAAAAAATACATATAAATATATTCAAACTCAGACTAGTTTGCAGACTTCGAACCAGATCTAAACCAAACCACAATTGAGTTTAATCTGGTCTGAAGTCTAAAATTAGTAAAATTTAAAGTCTGAGTCTGGTCTGATCTTGGATCAGACAAAAACTGGACCAGACCTGAACCAGACCTAGGAGTACTACTGCTAATGACACCAACCTTCTTACTAAAACTATTTGCAACCTTTCTACTAACTTCAACTTCTTTCATACCTTTTCAATCTTTTTTATTGGCACCTTGACTACCCCTTTTTTTGTATTTACTACCAAACTATAAATCTTTACTCATTTCGTCAGTTCTCAACATCTCTTGTCTAATGCCTTTACCAAACTACAACCTTTTAGATTGGTTTTTAACACCTTTTTTCTTATTCTTAATAGCTCCTTCCTGAATATACTTCTGATCTAAACATCATTGATATGATTCTTATAATAAATTTTTCACAACCTCTATGAACCAATTAACACTTTTATTATTTTTAAAAAAATCCATAACAACTAGGAAAGGCTAAATGGGAGAACTGTATAATGAAACTATTTTCTTTTACACAAAACTTCAAGAAATGCTATACCTAATCATTCATCAAAATATAATAATACTCATTCTTTAAATTGAATACAATCAACCACCAATTCTTTCTGATTATTTTTAAAAACTCCTAACTCTTTGAAACAAACCGTTTTCTCTGGTAATACCTGATTCAACCATCTCAAATCTATCATTATATAGTATTTTTTGAAACTACTTTTGGTATCAAAAACACTGAACTTACTTCTAATAACATTCCTAATCTTTTCTTTCTAATATAAACCAACTTTATGACCCTATTTCCATTAACCTCTCCAACTTCTGCTCTACCCACTTCAATTCATCTTCTGTAAATTCAATTTGCTTTAGCACTTTCTTTAAAACCAGCGATCTCACGTTTTTTGAAAACAACAATATCCCATTCTCTAGCCACTCTATAACCAGTACCACAGACTTTATAACTTCTTTCCAATACCTCACCAATGACTTTAAGTAAATTTTTCCCACTATTTTCTTCTTTTTCTGATTTTTCTCCTTTTGTATACAATTAACTTCTTTCGCCTCCCAAATCTGCTCTTCAAAAGGGCTGCCCAAACTTCTTTTAAGAACAATTCCAGATTATATGACTCTGCTCTTCACAAATGAAACATACAATTTCAGGTTTCTGTTTTGCTTAAAAGGCTTACTATTGCTATACAGCCTATTACCTCTCTGATATCTATAAAACTGCTAACTCAAGTTTGATTAAACCCTATATTACAATATATCAGAGCTATATTCAGAGCAAAGGCTGACTAAACTGGCTGAACTGAAACTATATTTGGTGCTAACCTCAACTGCACTGGCTGAAACTGCTGCTGCATCAATTGTTAAAACACTAACTATTGTACTGTCTAATTTGTGACCATACTTCCAAACTCTACCAGAACCCAGCTACTGCTGATGTTTGTTTTTTGCCAACTGCCTAGCATTAACCAACTTATTCTGAAAGTATGTATCTATAGAAACCTCATCAAATGAATACTGAATTTCTGCTGCCACACCCTATTTTTCTCTCTTTGTTACTCTCAACATAAATGCTCTAATCACAACAACCTCCTGTGCTTTCACTACCCCTTTTCAATTCCTTTCTATAATTGTATTGTCTAAATGCCTCTTCACCCTACACTATTCATCATACTCAAATTGGTCTCTCAGCTTATTTAACTTCTTTTTCAGCCAGTATTTACTTTCATCCATACCTTGAGCTAGTTGCACGCATTTCTTAATATTACTAACAGCTTTTTCTATCATTGTTTAAACTATTTTCTCTAAAAACCTCTCCAATGTAACGTACTGTAATTCTAGCATCAAAAACCCTACACTCCTACTTTCTTCATTTGATTCTGACTTTCTAACAAAATTCTTTTACAGACTTCAAAATCCAATTCAGACTCAAATCTTCCTTCCCGCATAACTTTATTCTAATTAATCTCCTCTTCTCTATTCTTTTCCTTCACCTTACTAACAATTATCCCAGCTAACCTTTTTACTAACTTCTTTTTTGTGCTTATCTCAACCAATCCTTCACCTTTACACAATATTTTCAATATTTTCAATGAAAGGCGATCCAAACTAATTTTTAATGCTTGTTGCAAAACCTTTTCCAAATTGTCTTCAAAATTGCTATCCAAAGGCAATGACGTTGGTAAAACCTTTTACAAATCACTATCATTATTTCTTTGCACCATTGATTCCAATTTATAACTACATGATTAATGACAAAGCTGAACCTCTGTCAAGCTAGCAGCAAAGACAAAAGAAGAAGACCCAATTCTATTTCCTCCCCTTTATATAACCCTCTCATGACTTCATACTTACCACCACTCAATCAATCAAACAATACTCATCATCAATACCTCATAATTATCATTGCTCAATACATCATACTCACTATCACTCAATACATCACAATTACCAAACGATCTACAAATCGTCACCTGTCGTCATGGGATTTGGTGTGATCTCGTAACAAATGGATGGCCCATGACTTCGTTCACGGCATCTCATATTAATCTATTTAGAAATTTCATGCTAAAGCATAATGGATAGCATATTTTAATAAATTAGAGAGCTTTTTTTCATAACCCGAAAAATAATTAATTTTTATCGAAATTATATGTTGCTGCAGTATTTTTATTTTTATATATACTAAAAAATTGTAATATGCACGGTAGACGGATATTACATATTATATAGCCCAATAGGATTCTATATAACTGATACCACTTCTTGCATATTCGCGTAATAGAATTATCAAGGGAGGCACCTAAAAGTTCTGTGACGTAGTTTATGATGCAGTAACTAGGGTTAATAGTATATACCGGGTGAGTGAAAAGTCCCTAAACAGAACCCTAAACGGGATATTTTTTTTATCTTCGCTGATATTATTTATTTTTATACCTTAACAATCCTCTTTTTACTATCTCTGCTAAGATTTATACATACAATTTACGAAAATATTGCAATGATTACTAATTATAAATGTCAGAATGATGTTCTTAGTAATTAAAAAAACAGGTTCCTGTTTAGAGACTTTTCACCCACCTGGTATATTGCAGTATTAGATTGCAATCACTATTTTTTTTAAAAAAAAAAACACATCTTAAATACGATCATGCTAGCAAATTACTAATATACAGCGGAAGAGTCAATATGTGGCACTAAATAATCAATGAAACCATAAGTGACCTCACGGCACTTTTAGGGTAATTCTGCGTAATATTTTTGTATTCGATATTTATGTTGCACGTCAAATTGAAATTTGTGTCAGATCAAATTTTAATACTGAGCTTCATTAGGGTTAGGGTGAAGCCCTATGTTAGGGTAAGGATAGGTATTGGTGACATTATTGTCTGAAGCGAAGTGACAGACTCATACTTCTATGCCTTTTGTTCAAAAAATCTGATCTTTGACATACAAAACAAGACTTTTCAGTATTAAATTGAGCTCCAGACTTATGCCGGTTTCCGGTTTCTAGTAATTATTTTGATTTGATGCATATTTTAATTTGACGTACAACCTATGTATCTGTCATTTTACGATGATCTCTAATACTATATGCTGTATTCTTATTTAAAGTATAAAATCTATAATAGCCCCAGCAAGAGTTTCGCAGATTAGTATGGTATGGGTAAGCAGATCAGTATGGTATGGATATGATTTTATCAAATTGTACTATACTGTTTTGCTTAATTGTTATATTCTATAAAAACTGGCCAGCATTAAGTATAATTTTGGGCAGAGCTAACCCTAAATTCTAAAGGTGTGACAATTAATCAGTATGGTACAATTTGATAAAATCACATCCATACCATACTGATCTGCTCACCCATATCATACTAATCTGCGAAACTCTTATATATAGTGCATGTTTGTGACCAAGAAAAAATAAGACTTCATATTTTCAAATTATTTACTATATCCATCCCAGATTTGTGATATATATCAGATATATATCACATTATATTTTTAAAAGGCAAAAATAAATGATAAAGCCTAAACCTTATTTTCATTTGTTAATGATTATATATAATGGCTCTTACGCAGATAACATATTTGTATATAATGATTTTTTTCTTACCATATAGCCCGTCATTTAACGACGGGTTCTAATACTAGTTATTGATAAAAAAGATAAAACATTACCTAAACCATTAACTTTGATAAGATGAAAATATGATTTATATATGCAAAGAATATTTATTATAATTTTCACGTAATACCCAAAGCTATTATAAAAATATCGAGACTTCGTTTTTCCATTAATTTTTTTCCTGAACCTGTACCTTTTGATAGTTATTTTTAATATAATTTTTTGCCATCACCAAGTTCACTTGATTATCAAAATACATCTGCACAGCACTAGAACCAAACCAATTCCACCAACCAAATAAGTTCAAAGTGTTAAACCATTCTATTAAATTTTCGTTCTCCCAACTCTTGATTATATTTCCATCAGTGATTTCGAGAACTTTCATTTCCCTAGTGGCATCAGGTCCTTGACTATATGCAAAGGATCGATAACAGTTATCAAGTGAATAAAAACATGTCTTCGATCTAAGTTTACTAGACATTCCTATAAAAAACGTAATAGATTCTTAAATAACTCATATAACTTTAAACATGATAATACCTTCATACCTGAAATCCAAAACCAAGTCTGAACTATCCAATTATTTTTCATGGCCGTTTCTACCAAGAGTGTATAATCACGATCTCCAGTAACCAGAATTAATATACCGGGGTCATTAATAGTAACAGTCTTTATTGCACTAATTGCGAGCTTTATATCGACTTCTTTTTCACAGTGTAATATAGAATCCCGATCAAACACAGTAACTTCATACCCTTGTTTTTGAATACGTCTCCATATAGAATCATTTGGCAGAGGACGTGAGCCAACAATAACAGAAGCATATCCCAGTTTATATCCATGCTGAACAGTTTTAAAAAGTCGACTGTAGTCAATGCAAAGTTGACTAAAGTAATGTGAATTTCTTTCATAATCAAATGAACCAAAGTGTTCAAGGTTGCCAACAGTATATTTTCCTTCAATAGTGATATTAAAGTTGTCGACAAAAACATACACAAGATCATTAGTTTCCTTATGTATTGGAGGTGATGCTTTTGAAATTTCTTTAACCAAGTGTGCAACTGTTATTGCTGGACCAAGCAATAGCCCAATATTTCGGAGCTTTTCATCTGTCAATAAAAGGAAGGCCAAACCAGAAATCCTGTTCCTATTGATTATATTGATATTAACTTCTTCAAGTTCTAACTCGTCTTTTTTGGATTCTAAAAACTTAATAACTTGTTCCTTCTTCCATTTCTTGATTTCTTCGACAGAAGGAAAAGGGTTTTTGGTATTATCATAGCCCAGGTTCCTTTTTTGAGTTTGCGAACACTTGTACTTTGCCAAATCGGTTAGCAAGCCATCCTTTCTCCCCTTTAAAAGCTTAGAACGTGTCAAAGTTTCTCGAATTTCATATCTGAGGAAATGTATCTAGGACATACGATCACTTAACCCTTTTTTGAAATGACCACCCGCATAGTGTCATATAAATAGGCAAAAAGAAAAGCATTGCAATTATTGGCTTTGTTTATAGCTAGCCATTAGTCAATCATATTAACCTAGGTTCAAATGATTATCAATACGGCATGCGCATTTTATTGTCTGTTACTATGCTCCAGATACTCTATTTCTACGCATTAAGTGATACAAAAGTTACGTTTTTGATGCATTTCGACCATCAAATGTTTCTTTTTGATGCATTAATGTAATTATTATAATTAACATATCAATAACGTAACTTCGAAATTTTTTGTCTGTCCTGCCACGTGATGCATGATTACAAACTATTTTGAAAACAACAATTGATTACAGTCAGGGATATTACCAAATACGATAATGCTCCAGACTTATATCGGTTCCCGATTCCTAGTTCTATTTAAAGCTTTATCGTTATCATTATTCAATAAAACCCAATTCTCGAAGGTGCTCTGGAATAACGGGGTATGTGTCCTCGTAATACCAAACATATCTTAGAACAATTTAGTTTTTTTTCGTATAAAGTGATCCTGTGCTTGCTGTTTAATAAAATTTTTTGGATCTCTTCTGTGAAAGAAATCAATGTATTTTTCATGCTGTTGCTCTTGCACTTCGGTTGTAAAACCATATTTCGGGTAATAAATATCAAGTTCTAATCCAGATAAATATTCAGATATTTTCAGAAAATTAGGCCGATGAATCTTAGAAGTAGGGTGCAGAATGGGCCGGGTTGGACCGGGCTTTACTGAGCCCGAAACAAAACCTGAAAATTATTTTTGAGCCCGAAAAAATAAAAGCTTGGTGTTGTGGGCCCGGGCCGGGCCTATTTAAAATCGGGACTGGCCCGGACTGGCCTGATCTGTTCACCTACTGCTATTATAGCCAGTGTGTGAAATTCAATGTTCTCACTGTTCTCCGAGAACACTAATCAAATTTTGAGAACATAATTGATTAAAATATGTTCTCTATCTAAGAACATTAATTAGAATTTTTTGATATTATACAAGTTTAAATTTCTATATTGAGAACATTAAAAATTTTTGAGAACATTAAAGGACTTACAAAATGTTCTCGGTGAGAACATAAAGTCAAAATTGAATTTCACACACTGATTACAGCTGTTTTCATAATTTCTGCCGAATGATTATTATTTCGGCATAATAAATTCAATAAAATTACAAATTATACATACATAACTTTTACATTAATTAATGCGGTGACACATGATTATTGATCTGCATTACAAAAATTTTGCCAGCATTATTAGACTTTGTACCAACTCTATAAAAGTTCTGGACAACGCTATTTACATCAGAAATTTACACGCAAATTTCTGATATATATCCCTATATCCCTATATATAAAAGACATATGCATTATATGTGATACTTTTCTACATTATAAAATGTCAGCACGTTCAATATTACTAAATTTTCGTTTAAATACTTACCCAACATGTTTAGTGCTGTAGTGTGTTAGTCTGTGCGAAAACATATATATCTCAAATTACAATGTAATTTATATGTATATACGTATGCATTTAGCACTTAGGGGGGGTGCGACTGTATTAATAAAATGAGTATCTAATATAGATTACGCATAATTTAAATTTTAATTTATTTTATATTACAGCATTACGATAATATGCGATTTTATGATATGAAAGTTTTATAATTTGCGGCCTATCGTCAAATTTTATATTTAAACAATCGCAAGTGTTGCAGCCCTAGTCGCGTTATAAATAGTCGCAATTAATATTTGCAACAAGCAATACTATCAGGATCAAGCTAAGCTAATAAAACATAAACAATAAAACATGTATGGTAATAGATGCTAAAACACCACATACATTTTATAATAGATGCACCAAAAAACAATAATAGTTTATTATAAAAAAAAATCTAGACGATTTGAACAAAATTCAGTATCAGATGCAACGATACACTTTCGACTTTAAAGATATAAAATACATGAAATTTATAAACTAAAACTATATAAAACTCCATCCTTCACAATCCTTGCATTCTCGGTCAACTTCACACTTTGCAATATTTTCCTTTCCTTCCGTAATTCTAGGCCATTCTTTAATGACTTGATTAATGAACGGTAACAGAGCATGATTCATAATTGAGCGTCTCCAACCAAGTTTAGCGCGAGTATCATATGTACATGTGTTGCCTAGATGGCATTTTGTTTCCATCTAATTATATTAATGAAAACACTTAAAATGTTAATGTTTAAAATAATGATAATATATGACAAATTTTTTTTAAACTTACAGCGAATCCTCCATGATAACATGTTGAAGTTTTACCATTACAGGTGCCACTGTATACTGGATCTGCTGTATGTCCAAAATGATAAATATGCAATCCTTCCAAATAATCGTTTAATTCAGATTCAGAGTTATAAGAAAGAAGACCAATTCGTTTTGCATAGAGGAGTTCACCGGGAGTTTGGAATAATACTGCAGGTAGACTATGATTTAGTGCTATTAACGAAGCTATTGAACCGCCTGTTAATGAAGATAAAAATTTTAAAGGTGGGGATAACGGGAAAAAGTTAATATAAAAATAATTACAAAAATAGTCAAATACCATGAGTTTAAATACGTATGTAAAATAGGAAAAACCTAATGAATGTCCTGTAAGCCAAATTCTTGAATTTGGATAATCTTTTTTTGTTTGTTGATAAATTTCCTGAATAATAATAATGTTAATACATTCTGAGCTGAAAGCATTAAATAATTTTTTATTTTAGCTTACCAATCCAGTTCTATAATAACTATCCTTAACATTACACTCGTTTTGAATACAAGTATTATTACATGTTTTCTTATCCATACGACAATCGCATACGCCTCTCCAGGTGAAATCAATTTTTGCACAACAACATGAGTACATAAGGTTATCCTAATGTTTAGGAATTTTTTTAAAAAAAAATAAATTAACAACATGAATATACGTATATACATTTGATCCTATTCTCAAGGCTTTACGTAAACTTACATTAAGCTTATCTTTAGAAGCAGTCGGACCACCACCATTTATTAAATGTAAACTAGTTCCTTTGAATGCTATTATAATTGTAGAATTATCTGGATCTGCAAATACGTAACCTCGCAAACCCACATCTTCCCAACCAAATGGTAGTTTCTATGTAATTATTATCGATGATTAGTGTACAGAATATGTTGTTACTGTATTAGCATATATACTAAGAAATTAGAAACCAACATTCTTGCTAAAATAAAAAATAGCACACCTCCCAATTTTCGTCTAAATCAAGCCAATCAGCTTCTTTTGACAACTCAATATATGCGTCATAACTCATTTTAGCTAAACTCGATATTGAGTCTTTATCTTTATAATTTGGAATTTTATTCTGAACCGTTTTTACACCAAATAAATGGTCTATAGGGTTTGGGTTATCAATACAACTAACTACATGATAGTTATCACCTAAACTAGCGGTAAAAGAAAATTGGGTAAATATAGATTGTCTGTTTTGGGGATTTATTTCAAGCTTTCTGAATAAGTTCTTAGTTGAAGGTGAAGTTCCACCATGGTGTAAAACTTGTTTTAGAGTAAAGTATTTACTATTAAAATCACTACTTTTCACGGAAAAAGGAATTTGATGAGAGTAAGCAGACAAACGAAACACTATTAGGGAAAGAAAAATACTAATAAATATTGGATAATAGCTAAACATTTTAGAGAGGACTTATGAAGGCTATAAAACAAACCAGGTGAATAAAGTAACTCCGAAACACACTACCGTTTATAAAATAAACAGTTTCTATAAAAATGCATTTGTTACAATTGCAGGATTAAGAATCTAAATAATGATAATTGTTTTAATGCACGTACGTTTCACATGCTACCGTTTACTGTTTGCCAAAATTTCCGGGTGACATAATTAGTGATCCTAGCCGATCAGTACCAGGATTTGGGGAACATTTCGCTAAAAAAATTTCGCTGTTAGATTAGGGTTAGGTTTGCTACTAAGTTAGTTAGAAAGAGCTCCACTAGTACCAAAATTTCGCAAGGAAAACTTTTAGTTAGTGCGCAGAAGGTTTTTTCATAGACAAAATGTTGAGTTATGAGCGATTTTTTGGGTTGTTTTGATTTTTTGCGTCACACAATGTGATTGGCCAATGAAATTTGATGCTTATGGTTGGCGGTCTATAGATATCAGGAGTATGCGGCATGTAGATTTACTTTAACTACAGTCCGGTAAATTTCCATAATTGGGGAAGTCTAAAGCGGATATTTATTTAGATTAGGGTTAGGTTAGGTTTTAGGTAGTGTGCCGCAGACCCGAACCGAAGGTTCCGGGTTATTATTTGGACCAGTCCGAAATAAAATGACCTATCATTTCATATTTCTTCAAAGGAAGAAGTTCGTCTGATTGGCTGATGTAAATCAATTGCCCGGGTAACTTAATTATATACTTTAAAGTACTTTTTTGTAACACAATGATTTACTAACAAAAAATCGTCGCAAAAACCATTCATAACTTTAGAATAGTGCCAATATTCACCGTGCAAAAGAATCTAAAAATGATCTTACTTCCCATAGACTTTGCTTAGGAGACAAAATACACAAATTATATTGAATACTGGAATATGAAGATAAGTGGAAACGTTTTTGTTCAAGACTGCCTTATTGCGTTAGATTTTGAAAAAACTTTTATTACTAACTTTGAATTTGAACAAGGATAAGTTTATTGTAAAAGAAATTCCGGGTTTAATACTTGAATATGCTTGGTTCTTGCGTTTTTTGTTTTAGTCAGTTAGATTGTATTAATGTGTTTGGTTATTAATAATGAATACCACCTTTACTTCGCTTTACGTGTATCGATCTATCTTCTATATATTTGAAATAAAATTAATTCTTTTGCATATTTATTCCAGGGCGTAGGATCGATTTTACTGTCACATTATTTTCCGACGCATATCAGCCAATCAAAGATCAGGATCAGGTGTAACGTAAAGAAATTCAAAACTAGAGTCCTAATAAAAAATTTTCCTTGTGCAATTTTGCTATATTATTTTTCTTCCTAACCTTAGCCTAAACTCTAATCCAAATATAAAAGATGCTTTTAGCTCAACATTGTTTTCCGAGTATCACGTGACAGTCAAATCGATCCTACTCCCTGTCAAAATTTAATATCTTCGTTTTTGTGATTTGTAAAAAAATGGTTATAATGGATTTTTTTTACTAAGTAAATTGACTTTATTTTAAATAAAGTTACGTTAAATTTTGGATAATTTTAGATAATTTTTTATTGCATTATACAGTATGTTATTAATTTTTTGATTTTTTTCGAGATCACGATTTGATTGGCTGAATAACATGTGATAGAAATGTCTAGAAACATCTGATCGCCATTTGCATACTATAAAAGGTGCGATCAACACTGTCCATATTTTTTTTTTGCTCGGATATTGTTCGGATATAACTTATTTCCTGCACGTGCGACCAAGCAAACTTCATCCGATAATTCACGTGGCAAATAACGATCCGCCAAATATTCAAAACTAATCTTATCATTGATTAGTCCTTGCCTATTTAGATGTAATTATTATAATTATTATAATTAAATCAAAAAGAAAACAAGAAATGATTAAATAAAGAAAAATTCAATAAATAGATTTTTTACCTTTTCATTAGTAGTAATACATCTTTGTCTTGAATAATCTCCCGTTTACCGTGCGCAGCATACGTTGCCAAGTCCGTAGCAATTTGCTCAAAAAATAGTTGTGATCTAATAATCTGAATGTCAGAAGATAAAGTACAATGATTATATAAATATACACGAATTATATTTACCCTTCAAATACCACTTGCATGGCAGTCTTTGATAATTTGGTATTTGAAAAATTACTGAACACCCTCCTAATCAGCGAATGGGGAAGTTGTGGTGGTCCTCTGGGTTTGGGCACCCTTGATAAATTAAATAAATAAATAAATCATACAAAATAATAATAATAACTATTATTGTTTTTTTTGTTAAGAAAAAAAACCTTTTATTTTTTTGACGTTGTTCCTGATCCTGATCCTGTACATCATCGAATTCCATAGTCTCTGTAACTTGATCACTATAGACATTTATAATATCATCATTATCATCATTATCCAGAATATTACGATGTTCCTCAAGTTCTATATCTTTGATCTCTCCAGTGAATTCCATAGTCTCTGTAACTTGGTCACTATAAACATTTGTAATACGATGTTCCTCAAGTTCTATATCTTTGATCTCTCCAGTGAATTCCATAGTCTCTGTAACTTGATCACTATAGATATTTGTAATATCATCATCATTATCTAGAATGTGACGATGTTCTTCGGGCTCTATATCTTCTATCTCGATATTATGTTCTTCAGGCTCTATATTTTCTATCTCGATATTATGTTCCTCAGATTTTATATCTTTTATCTCGATATTATGTTCATCAGGTTCTATATCTTTTACCTCGATATTACTTGGTCCTGGCACATCAGGTGCAGTTCGAGATTTTTGCACAAATCCTGGCGCTATTGATGATCGGATATTCAATATATCGTAAGATCAGGGACTGCTATTATTTAATAATGTATTGATATAATACCTCGAGATAATACTCTTAATAAATTTTGTGGTGTTTGCTTCTTTTTCGCCTTTGATTTATCTTCTTTACTTTTCCTTTTCAACGACAGACGAGTAGAACTTGGCGTTAAATGTATAATAGGAGTTTGACGTGTCCGTGGCGTACGTGGGGTAGAAACTCTTCGTCTTCGTGGTGTGCCAGCTCTTTGCCTCAATGGTGTTAAGTGTTGGTCTAACGCAGGCTGAACAAGAGCTCTTGACAACTGACGTAACTATTTAAGGACACGTTCACGCGTTTAGATATCGAAAGAATACAGACTAACGTTAACAAAAAAGTGCATGACAGTCAATAATACAACCTTACCATTTTTGACGGTGTTTCTTCGGGCGCTTTTATTGCCGCTTCTTTTGAACTTTCGCCACCAGTCATCATAATATTATTAAAAACAAGAGGTTATTATGTTAAGAATTAAATTGGTCTATATACAGTACCAAAATTTCGCAAACAAAATTTTGAGTTACGAATGGATTGTTTTGATGCTTGCATTAGCCAATCAGGCGAATTTCCGCATATTAAAGTATTCTCCGTCCCTGATACAGCGATAGTTCGGAGATCACGTTATCCAACGTTTCTTTCTATCTACACTCTTTACCGTTACATAACAAACCTTAAGATTTCATAATGAACATAAGCGTAAGCGAACAATCACTCAGGAAAAACTCAATAACCTATAGTTAGACAATAACGGAGGAGGATAAAAAAAAGGAAATACATGTCGACGTTAGCTATAGTAATAGCTGAAAATTATTATATCAAAACCGAAAAACTTGGTAGAACGCGATGAAACTAAGATTAGAGACCGTCTTACCATTCCGATTCTACTGCGCCGGTCGAAAAAAGAGCAAAGCTTTCCTTGTCTCTGGGGTTAGTAATATTTTTTTGCTACCTTCTATTGTTAACGGAGTAATACATCAAACGTTCTACGTACGTACGCTTTATTAAACAACGTTTTTTCTATGCGTGCGATTAGCAGCAGATCGGCCCGAATTATGGTCGGAATGCACCGGAATTGGCCGGCATTGATTAATTTGCCCAAATCACTTAAAATTTTACATAAATTACAATTTTACATTACATGTAATTTTACACAAGTTTCAGAAAAGAGAATTTTATTGTACACAAGTAATATAGATATCTCAAAATATTGATCATAAAACCACTTTTTGGCTTCTAACAAAAAAGTTCCTTGTGAAATTTTGATATAGGCTATACCCCAAATCCACCTTTACCCTAACCATAAGCAAGGGTTTAATTTTTCATTTGTGAAAATTGTTTTGATTGGCGTTACACGAATCTGAAATTTAATAAATTATTATCAGAAAATTAATTTTCATCATGTAATACATAAGGCCATACAAAGTTAATTTTTTGGTTTCCCAGCTTTTAATTTTATTTTCAAAAAATTTTTATATAAAAAACATAAAAATTTTTATAAACTTCTAAAAAAACCTCACCCGGATAGTAAATAAAGTCAAAAATTTTTTTACAGCTATTATCATTATTTCTGGGACACCTGAAGAATTTTCAGATGACCGAAATACCCTCTGTTTCATTCAAAACTATATCGTTGTCTAGTCCGAAGACAGCGATGTAATTTCCAGAGAGGTAGGTAATTT